GGTCCTTGTGGATACACCTCCAATTCTTCCCCCATGTGAGCTTAACATAGTTATTAAGTAATTTATATTGTTTATTTCAAAATAGTTGACAACTTATCTCCATTGACAGCTTATTTTTATTCTTCAAAGAATGTGCGGAAGATGGTAGATAGAACCTACTACACCGAAGGCTCCGAATTAACTTATCAGGAGAAAAATCATCTGGTCGCATTTTGTATTGATCTTGAGAATTACAATATCTACAATCAAACTCCTCAACATTATGGTCAATACGTGCCACTAGTGCACGTGTTGAACTACGGTAACTACCATGGAGATACCCTGGTAAGATTTTTTTACAATTACGACATGCGTGATCTTTTTGCACACTTCTGAAACTAGTACATCATTGCTAACTACGAAGTTATTACTATGTTTTTCAACAAATAATCCCGAATGATTGTGTGCCTCATCTGATGTATACGCATGGTAGCCTTCATGTTTTGAACATACAACCAGGTCGTCCTACGAATCTCAACTATCCATACCGGTTTCTAAAAGAAGTGGAGACATAACAATCAAAGAATGGAAAAAATGTATGGATAGTCGTAAGGAGCTTCTTGGAAGCAACAAGCAGCGAAGGGCAAGAATTGGAGACAGGATGATCGCCATTCTTCATAATGGAGAGTCAGGGTCTATATTGTTTTATGCTATTTTACCTTAAGGGTGTTTAGGTCCTACCTGATACTGATGATCATGTGCTAAGAACAATTATGTAGGGTTGGGTTCGATGACTATGAGGATGATGATCGTATGACTTATTATTAATAACGAGTAGAAGTTATATGATGATGCATATGACTTGTTATTATATATGATGATGTATGATGCGCATGCATGAGCATGTTATTTCAGCGGGTGAAATGAACATAGCAGCAACGTTCATAAACCAAGGACGAAGATATAAGAGAGGACACTTCTCTGTATTAGCTAGCTAATAACAACCTAAAAATAACCCCCAAAACCCCTAAAGCAGCCACATTTGTAAAAAAAACATAAACTTTTGGTCCCGGTTAGAGCCACCAACCGGGACCAAAGGCCCCCCTGACTGGGCTCGGCGGACCGGCCACGTGGAGGCACATCTGTCCCGGTTCGAGTTTGAACCGGGACTAATGGGTGGAGGTATTAGTAACGACCCATTAGTCCCGGTTCATGAACCGGGACTAAAGGCCCTTACGAACCAGGACTAATGGGTATTTTTCTACCAGTGTAGGAAGTAATCTAGCTAGCCGCATACGTGCATATTGCCAAAAAGCACCCGGCTACGTAGTCCCAACCTGCTTGATTCAGCTTGAAAGTGATGACAGATTTTTTATCCATGGGAAGAGAGAAATGATGAATAATTTTCCCATGGAAGGAGAGATAATTGGATTTATTTTAATAATAGAAGGAATAAATCATGGATTATATTTAGAAACAGACCTGGAGTTGTACTATTGGCTCTAGATTGATATGTTTATTTTCTAATGGCGAGAGGCATAGACCAGTGCTCTCTAGATAGATTGAGATTGAGTACGGTTACAACCATGAAAAGAGGCCTGGAGTTGTACGCTTTACCTAGGGGAGGCCGTGGAGCTGTAGATAGATTTAGATTGAGATTCAGTACGGTTAAAAATGTGAAAAGATGTGTGGAGTTGTACGCTTTAACTAGGAGTTTTTCTACTTGTATTTTTTGGTCGAGAAAATACTATGGGTCTTGGAAAGTTTTCTTGAGTTCTAGATTGATATGTTTATTTTCTAATGGTGAGAGGCATAGGCCAGTGCGCTGTAGATAGATTGAGATTGAGATTGAGATTGACAACCATGAAAAGAGGCCTGGAGTTGTACGCTTTCCCTAGGAGTGAGATTCTGTACGGTTAAAAACGTGAAAAGATGTGTGGAGTTGTACGCTTTAACTAGGAGTTTTTCTACTTGTATTTTTTGGTCGAGAAAATATTATGGGCCTTGGAAAGTTTTCTTTTGCACATGAATTTGTAGATTGATCTACACTGTAATAATTTGATCCCACTAGATGACGGCTCTTAATTCCTAATTGGTGTGCTAATTTCTTGGGAGTCTCTAATTAGCATAGGTATAGATATAGATAGATAAAGAGACAATGGACCCCCTTGTTTTGAACCCCTAATAGGTTGGAAGTTATCAGTTTCCTAATAATTATACCTGATAGTATATTGTACCAATGAGAAACTTCAAAAACTCCAATTCTCTTAGAATCCCAACCTTAACAAAATATTCCTCAAGAAAACCTACTCAACTCTGTCTTATGCCTTGCACAATATCCAACTTGTCCGCACATAAATCTTTCTTCCCCTTTCTCTTATTTTTTATCTTGTGTATGTACTCATAGGCAATAACCAAATTGTCTGTTATAAGTCTCTAGGGATGAAGGCACTTTCGGTTGGTGAAATAAGCTTTGGTAAAATTATATATACCTCTTGTAAGCCGCCACACGGGACAATTGATCAGTTGTAAATCCCTGGCGTTTGAAACCTCCCCCGATATAGTGAAGTTTGGCTGGCTGGCGCCCGTGGTTTTTTCCCCTTCGTGTTGGAGGGGTTTTCCACGTTAAAATCTCATGTCCCTTGCTTGTTTTCGTCCTTCATCATGTTCGATTGCGTGTCATATCTCTAAAGGAGTGTATGACTCGCAGAAATCTGTCCAGGGATTTTTCGTTCTTGCTAAATGCCTCCAGAGCATAGGCGCCAATCTTGGTGCAGCTGCTTTACATCCAGCAATGTAACCTAGTGAACTCTTTGTGCATGACATTGCTCCTCGAAATCTCCAAAGTATTGAGAGATTGCGCACCTGCAAAAGCAAACACTGTAGGGCTAGTAAGGTTTAACAAAGAAATTATTGATAGGGTAATCGGTAAACAAAGTATTATAAATATGATGCATAAACCATGTGCTAGTAGTCCCATAATTGGAATATAACAAAAATATTTCCAAATGGACAAATCATGCTCAATTAAGTACTATAATCGCGTCTATGAAATGAGTTTCTAACATCATCACAATCTGAAAATAGATCCGAGCCGGGAAGCACTACAGCATGGTAGGGATTGGAAATGGTTGGTAATATAATTTGAACATGTTCTTCTGCATGGATGTGCAGGATCTGGTACCATGTTCATAATATTTCTCACTATCGGAAAACAGTTAAGCCAGCAGAGCATTATTGTGCTAGCAACTTGAATAGACCACATAGCGAATTTGTCACAAGTACTACAAGTACAAAATGAATTTGTTAACTAAAAAGGAAAAATGTACCACTATACAGAGATTACAAAACTAAATTTCAACCTAAAATAGGAATTTCTTCGACATATAGAAGTTCTTTGCACGGACATAAAGATGCACAAAGTCACAAATACAGAACTTAGAATGGAATAAATTTATTTGCAACTCTGCAGCACATGTTAATTATTTTGACACAACAACCAGATTGGTAGGGAAGAGGATAAAGAGGGCATGGACACGGAGGGAGTCACCTCTGCATGGTGAGGGGGGGTGAATCTGGAAGCCGCCGACTAGGGAGGCGGATCCTGGAGTCGCCGATCAGGGAGGCGGATCTTGACATCACTGGCAAGAAGGGTGGCCCTCGACAACAGGGGGCGGGACGGCGCTCGACGGCGAGGTTGGCACCTCTATATTGGGATGGAGACGACATACCAAAACTTGACAGCCAGTACAGGGGAAGTGGCGGCGCTGGACTTGGGAGGTAGCGCCATCATGGGAGTGGGACGAGTACCATGATGCTGGGAAGACTTGATTGTGTTTTAGGTATTTTGACTGAACCCTCCCGATGAGAGCGCAAGTCGTGCGAAAAACACCGTGGCAGCGAAATATCCGCGAGCTTTTCACTCCCCAAACGAAAAAAACACGTGCCTCGGAAGCGAAAATTTCTTTGGGTCCCACATAATTGCTGATAGCCATGTACATATTCCTGAATTGTGCAAAGTGATTCGTGACCTGGATATACTAATGACACAATCATTCTACTCTGATCCTGAAGGTTATTCTCATTTCTGAAGATTATTACCGAGAACGTCAGGAACGTAACCACCATTTGCCTCGGCTTTAACATCCACGTCATAAACATGCACAAATTCCTGAAGGAGGCTTCGGGGCCATCACGACTGTATCTAAGCGTCACCAAATAGTTAGTTTAGAGTAGTGAATTAAGGTTGGTTAAATAATCTCTGGTAAAATCATCTTTCGGGTTTTAGCAATCATCTTTGGAATTAAGTCTGCTATGGTGTCATTGCACCCCCTCAGTTATCTGCCTCGAGTTTGTCACGTTGGGGGCTTCGTGTGTAATCTTTGGACCCACCAAATGCCAATATTTCTTGTAGAAAATTGCAAAAAACCGTCGGGCATGAGGCCTTGTAGAAAAATTTCATGAGTAGATGTAGTCATCATCTGAGTCATCAGTGCACTCCTCACTGACGCGATTCTCATAGCAGTCTCCACATGGGGGCCGAGGGTTTTTATCCCAAGATATTTCTCTTGTAAGAGCTTATCATCGACGTCCCAACAACCATGCAAAGCTAAGAACTTGAGGTCATGGCACTCGGAGGCGATCTTGACAACAACTCTAGTCTTAATGAGCATGTTTCCTATCTCGAGGTGGCAGAGCTTTGGCATTTTGCTGGGAGTAGCATGGGCCTCGTCATTCTTGCACACCTTCCCAGCGACATCTATAGGGTGCAGTACTCGCCAAAGTCTAACGGGGGTTTTGTAGTTCTTGCCAAATGCCTCTAGAGCACGGGCGCCAATTTTGGTGCAGCTGCATAAATCCAAGAATGTAACCGTGGGAAGTGTTCAAGATCTTCCACTATGCAGTCGCTGATCTCGCTTCTCATAATCTCCAAAGTGTTGAGAGATTGTGCACCTGCAAAAGCAAACACCGTAGGGTCAGTAAGGTTTATTAAAAAAATTGATTGGGTCATTGGTAAACAAAGTATTATCTATATGATGCATAACCCTTGTTCTAGTTGCATCCATGACTGGATTGTAACAAAAATATTTCAAATTGACACCGTGCTCAATAAAGTGCTATTAACTGCGGTTATGAAATGAGAGTCTAACATCATCCAATCAAAAAAAAGATCAGAGTCGGGAAGCACTAGAGCATTGTAGAGTTCAGAAATTGTCTGTAATATAATTTTGAACATGTTCTTCTTCACGGATGTGCAGGATCTAGTACCATGTTCGTAATATTTCTCACTATCGGAAAGCAGATTAAAGCCAGTGGAGCATTATTGTGCTAGGAACTTAAATAGACAACATAGAGAATTTATCACAAGTACTACATGCTTGATCAATGTCTCAATCAGCATCGTTTAAGTACTGTAGAAGGGAAAGAATAGGCTGACACAATGTATTGATCGGTGCACCAGGCACGTATATATGAGTACAGAAGGGGCCACAACCTCAACTATAAAGAGGAACTAGGAGGTGGGCCCAAGACACAATATACACGTACACAATATATTCAACACCCCCCCCCCCCGCAGTAGAAGCGGCGCCGGAGACGCAGAGACTGAAACGAAACTCCTCGAAGGTGGAAGTCGGCAGTGCCTTAGTCATCACATCGGCGAACTCTTGTGCAGTCGGAACATGGAGGACCCGAATACGTCCAAGGGCCACCTGCTCGCGCACAAAGTGAATGTCTAGCTCAATGTGCTTAGTCCGACGATGATGAACGGGGTTGGCGGAAAGGTACACCGCAGAAACGTTATCACAATAAACAACCGTAGCCTGGGAGACGTCATGATGCAACTCCTGAAGTAACTGTCGTAGCCAGGTGCACTCGGCGACGGCGTTAGCCACAGCTCGGTACTCAGACTCCATGCTAGAGCGCGAAACCATAGGTTGTTGCTTGGACGACCACGATACGAGTGAAGAACCGAGGTAAACGCAGTAGCCAGAGGTGGACCGACGGGTGTCGGGGCAGCCGACCCAGTCCGCGTCAGAGTAGGCCACCATCTCCAGAGAAGTGGACGCCGTGAGAGTAAGCCCAAGAGCCATCTTGCCGCGGATGTAACGGAGAATCCGCTTCACGAGGGTCCAATGGGAGTCATGAGGGGCGTGCATATGCAGACACACCTGCTGAACAGCGAACTGTAAATCCGGCCGGGTGAGAGTCAGATACTGAAGAGCACCAACAATGGACCAGCAGAACGGAGCATCCGACGCGGGAGAGCCCTCGAGAGCAGAAACCTTGGCCTTCGTGTCAACATGAGTAGCAACAGGGTGACAGTTGAGCATGCCGGCACGCTCAAGTAGCTTGTGTGCATACTTCTGTTGATGAAGAAAGAAGCCGTCGGGTCACCGAACGACCTCAATGCCAAGGAAATAATGTAGAGCGCCCAGGTCCTTGATGGCAAACTCATCACACAGCCGGAGAGTAATCTGCTGAAGAAGGGCTGCGGAGGAGGCCGTCAGGATGATGTCGTCGACGTAGAGGAGCAAATATGCAGTCGTGTCGCTGCGATGATAGACGAACAATGAGGCATCAAAGCGAGTGACGCTGAAGCCCAGTGTCTGAAGGAACCCGGCGATACGCTGGTACCAAGCGCGAGATGCTTGCTTGAGCCTGTAGAGAGACCGGGACAGCAAACACACATGCCCAGGAAGAGATGCATCGATGAAACCGGTCGGCTGCTCACAGTAAACCTGCTCCTCAAGATGGCTGTGAAGGAAGGCGTTGGAGACATCCATCTGATGAACTGGCCAGCCTCGGGAAACTGCCAGCTGGAGAACTGTGCGGATCATGACCGGTTTGACAATCGGGGCAAACGTCTCGGTGAAGTCGACTCCAGCGCGTTGGCGAAAACCACGGACCACCCATCAAGCCTTGTAGAGCTCAAGTGTACCATCCGAGCGGGTCTTATGGAGAAAGACCCACTTGCCGCTGATGACATTGGCGCGAGAAGGCCGAGGAACCAGTGTCCAGGGACGGTTCCGTTGAAGAGCGTCGAACTCTTCCTGTATCGCGGCAAGCCAGTGAGGATCACGAAGGGCTGCGCGAGCGGACGCAGGGATCGGTGATGGCTCAGTGGTGGAGGCGGTGAGAAGATACTCGTCGTTGGAGTACCGTAGACTCGGGTGATGAACGCCGGCTCGAGCCCGAGTGACAGGGCGATATGGCAACTCGGCGACTGGCGAGGCGGTCAGCGAGGCAGCCGGCGAGGCCGCCGGTGAGATGGCCGGTGAAGAAGAGTCGCCCAAGGCTGCCGAAGCGCCCGCGCCCGAGGCCGTAGAAGCGCCCGTGCCCGAGGCATAGGGGGCGGGCGAAGCGGGGGCGTCGCCTGAGGCACCTGAGGCGGCAGGGCCGACCGAGACAGCCGGCAACGGGGCGGCGCCTGAGGTAGCCTGTGAAGATACCGGCGACGGGGCTGCCGGCGAATATGCCAGCGAAGCAGCGGCTGCCGGCGAAGATGCTGCCGAGGCGGGCGATGCTGAGGCCCCTGAAGGAGTCGGCGAGGACATCGTGGAGGCGCGAGTCACGGCTCGTCCCACGACAGGAGGACCGCCGAAGCCCGGAGGTGGTCCAAGAATCGAGAGGGGCCGTCCACCTGGCGGGGTCGTTGGAGGGCCGCCGGTGGCCAGTGGCGACGGGGCGGCGGGAGGTACCTGCTGAAATGGAAACACCGTCTCATCAATGTAAACGTGCCGGGAGATGAATATACGATGTGAGACGGGATCGTAGCAGCGGTATCCTTTGGTGTTAGGTGGGTAGCCGAAGAAGATGCAAGCGACTGAATGAGGTGCAGTGGCGGCGAGGCTAGGATAGCAGAGACAACCAAAGATGCGAAGGCCATCATAAGATGGGGGCGCACCAAAGAGGAGATAGTGAGGGGCATAGTTCCAGCGTGGGCGACATGGGCGGATGTTAATGAGGAGGGTGGCAGTGGCGAGAGCGTCCGGCCAAAACCGGGGAGGCACGTTAGAGTGAAAGAGTAACGTGCGGACGCAGTCATTAAGAGTGCGAAGGATACGCTCGGCACGACCATTTTGTTGGGACGTGTAGGGGCAAGTGAGGCGGAAGATAGTGTCGTGGGAGGCTAGAAGGTTATGTACAGCGGCGTTGTCAAACTCTTTTCCGTTGTTAGTTTGTAAAGCAATGATAGGACGACCGAACTGTGTGGTGACGTAGGAATAAAATGCAGTGAGTGTGGCAAGAGCGTCGGAGTTGCGACGAAGAGGAAATGTCCACACATAATGAGAGAAATCATCTAAGATCACAAAATAGTATAGGTAGCCCGTGTTGCTTGCAACCGGGGATGTCCAAACATCACTATGCAATAACTGAAATGGAAAAGTGGAAATAGTGGTAGATGCGCTAAAGGGAAGATGAACGTGTTTGCCAAGACGACAAGCCTCACAAGTATGGTCGTCGATCTTATTGCATGAGAATGAAAAGCTCTTAAGTATTTGACGCAAAGTGGTGGAGTTCGGGTGTCCCAAACGAGCATCCCAAAGGTCGACACCTGCGGCGAGGGCGACTGGGGTGGTGGAGGCGGTGGTGGAGGAGTGCACCGGATAGAGCTCGTGAGGACTATTGCAACGGTGAAGGACCATCCGAGTACGGGTGTCCTTCACAGAAAAACCGACATCATCAAATTCAGCGGTAATGGGATTCTCACGGGCAAGACGACAAACAAATACAAGGTTCGTAACTAAATCAGGAGACACAAGAACATCAGACATAGTGATAGGTGAAGATGTGGAAGGAAACGAAGCACGACCAACATGTGTGATAGGTAAAGAGGAACCGTTGCCAACGGTGATGCAAGCACGAGGATGAACCGGAGTAGAGGAGGTGAGAGTATCAGGATGAGATGTCATGTGGGTGGTGGCGCCCGAGTCCATGTACCAAGCGCCGCCGGTGATGGGGCCGAGTGCAGGGCGGCCAAGTAAGTAGTGTCCCATGACGGTGAGACAGGCAGCGAGGCGAAGCCGCCGTAGGGCTGAACCGGGGCGGATGGAGCATGGCCCGGCCATCGGCATGGCGAGTAGAGCCGTAGGGCTGACACTGGCCGGCTGGTGCGGCACAACGTAGTAGGCCGGATGGCCAGCCGGAAAAACCTGCGGCGTGGTGTAGGGATCCAGCGCGTCCACGTACATGTAGCCGAAGAGAGATGACGCGGCAGAAGACATCGCAGCGGCGATGGTTATACCAGCGGAAGGCAAGGGACGGATGGAGTAGCAGCAGTGCGGAAACGAGAGAGGAGGGAGCGGCGGCTACCTGCGACGGCAGCGGCGGGTGGCGGCGGTGTCGGGTGAGGTGATGCGGGTGAGCGGGCAATCGCGCGAGGGCGGGCGAGCAAAGCGGCTTGCAGAATAGACTTGATCGGAAGCAGATAAACTAGAACATGCAGATATATGTATATGTGTGAAAGAACTTGGAATAGAAGGATCTGGTAGACGTGGCGTAGTAGTACTAGAGCTAGACTAGATGGATGGATTATGCTAATGATGATCAGCGGCGGCGGAGTAATTAGCAGTAAATAATGAGAACTAGTATAGAAGTGTTCCTTGCAGGCTACCAGACGAAGTAGAAGCTGGAGTACGGGCGATCGGAAAACCACCGTTGCCAGCCGGGCGTACGTGAGATCCTACTGAGCGGTGCTAGCGAG